TTGGTCTGAGGGACGGGTGCTCAGTGCTCATCTTGGACAGCCACGACCAGAGGTGACCACTTTGATTAGGAGCATGATTAAACACAAATGATACATTCTTGTAACTAATTATCACTTTACCTTGCTTTGTATTTAAAAGGTCAGTCTTAGGTTCTGGAGAACAGACACTTGTCAGCTGTTAGACATTCTTTGCTCTCGAAGTGCAGACACACATCCCTTTGACTTCCACTTGAAAAGGGGGAAAAAACCTGGTGGCAACAAGATGTGCTCAGTGTGCTGGCAAATACTGGGCATAACCTGAATTTCTGAGGGTTGAGTCTGAGGGACTTGGGGGGGATGAGAGGGCAGAGCAATATCAGAAGACAATCAGCCCAAGCTGTGCCAGGGTAAAGCCACCATAAGGTTTTATCCTTTAAGGGGAATCTCCCAGTTGAATCTGAAGTTGTCAGATTCAAATTTCTGCTCTCCTTACACTTCTGTGCTGCCTGACCCTCACCCTGTGATGTTCCATCACTGTTAATGACCTCAGAATCATCAGTTTGTTTGGGAGCTTTGCTGGGGAGTGACCTACCCTGACAACAGGCAGCTTTCCTGTCTCTGACTGTCTCTGCACTGTTGATTTTCACAGCTTTGTGAACATTTCCAGTGGCAATCTGACAGCCTTTACCTGTGACATCAGCTGGCTCCAAGTGAAGAACTTCTGTGGGACAGAAGATGACGAGAACCAAGTTAAAATTACTGCCACTATTGAAACAGTAAGGACTCTGCTTGGCCAGGGCTCTTTTCCTCAGGCTTGCCCACTGCCCTTTGCCCAGTTAATCAGGTTTAGCCTCGGGGATGAAGTTTTTCTCTGCTGAAGATACTCTGGAACTCAGAAGTTTCCATTATTGGGGTATTTGGCAGGTAAATTAAACCAGGGCAGTGTTTTAGTGTGAAGCGATTTTGATTTTCAGCCCATCCTGTGTGTTTGAGGTGATAGCAGGAAACCAAAGCTGAAAGAGGAGGGAGGGATTATTTGTTGCTCTTTGTGGAGTGGCATTTATCCAGGCAGGGGTGTTCCTGGCATTCCCTGCTGGAAGTGTTAAAATTCCTTTCTTTTAGGTGATGTCAGATATCAAAATGAAAGCAATAAGGGAGCTTCACCTGGAGGAGGAACTTGGTGAGTGTTCACCTGCTTCACCTTTGTCTGATAATACTCAATTTACTGAATTTAGCAGGATTTTCCTGGTTTTTCCATCAGTCTATTCAAAACAGCAAATCCATTGCTGTTAGGAGGTTTTTTATTTGGGTTTTTTTTTGTTTTGTTTGGTGTTTTGTTTGGTGTTTTGTTTGGTGTTTTTGTTTGGTGTTTTTGTTTGGTGTTTTGTTTGGTGTTTTGGTGGGTGCTTGGTGGGTGCTTGGTGGGTGCTTGGTGGGTGCTTGGTGGGTGCTTGGTGGGTGCTTGGTGGGTGTTTTTTGCTTGCTTGGTGGGTGTTTTTTGCTTGCTTGGTGGGTGTTTTTTGCTTGCTTGGTGTTTTTTGGAAAGAAAGAGGCTGCAAAGGAGTTAAAACTCTTTTAATTTTAAATTGAATTATTAGTTTTCCAAGCTTTAAGGAAATAAATCAGTATAAGTCTTGATTAAAATGCATTTCATGAGGCTCTTATTTTACTTATTTGAGTAGGAATATTTGTGTTGTCAGTCTTTAGTATTGTACTCACTACTGAAGAAGGTTTTTTTTTAACTTTATTCCTTTCTGGAAGAGTCTCCAGTTTTCTTTCAAATTTTTGTTGTCTTTCCCTTTGGAAGCACTTGGCCAGTTTTGTAAAATTTTGCTGCTTGTACTTTAAAAGAGAAAAGTGATCCTTCAGCAAAAGAATAAAAGACTGTTTGGGGACTTTCTGGGAATTTCTCCAGTTGGGTTTTTGATGTCATAGGTGGGGACACCTGTTGTAATTAATCTAATGGTAATCAATCTTAATTCTGAGCCAAATTTCTTACTTGAATTATTTAATACATCTCTCTTTCCTTCCCTTTTTGTTACAGCAAATGAGAGCTGTCTTAGACCTGTTAGTGGGAATGGGAAACTTTTGTCTCCAGGTAAATTGATGTATTCCATCCTTGTTCTGTAAGGAATCACTGAGGAGATCTGAAGCTCCCCTTTGTCCTTCCCTGGGAGAAGAACTTCCCTGATTTCCAGACTTAACTGAAGCAGTTGGGTGGGGTTTTTTCCCCCCAGTTTTTAGGTTCATTAGCAGCAGCCACACAAAGGTAGAGGTCAAACTTATTTGATTATTGCCATCCCTAATTCCAGCTGTCAGTGTTTAACTGTGCTCCTGTGGGGCAGAGTTGGGCACAAAGGGACCCCCAGCTTTGGTTTGGGTGGTGTTGGAGCAGTGGAGAGAAGCTTCCTGGGAAACATTTTCCATGTCCTTGCTATTTTATTCATACACTGCATTAATAAAACCCAAGGAGAGACTAATTGCCTTCCATTCAGTGCTTGTCAGACAACACCTGGAATGTTGTTCCTGTTCTGGGGGCTCAGCAGGAGAAAGGAGCCCTTGTAAACTAAAACCTGTCCAGTTCAGAGCACCCAGAGGGTCTGGGAGCTGGGATGGATGGCAAAGGAGGGAAGCTGGGCTCTTCCAGCTTCCCGAAGATGGGGAGGAGTCTTGATTGCCATCTTTAACTCCTTAACGTGGAATCTTAGAGAAGGCAGAGGCAGATTCTTCCTGGAGGAGCACATGGAAAGGATCAGAGGCAGTTTCAGTGAGGGAAATTCCAGCTGGGCTGCTGGTGGGGAAGAAAGGGATTCACGGTGGGAGTGGTCCCAACGATAGACAGGGAGCCCTGGGAGATCTCCATCTCTTTGCTCTCATCGTAGGAGACTTGGAGATCTGGGGGCAGAGCTGGGGAAGTGAAGTTCTCCAAAGGTCATGGAATGGTTTTATCTTGCTCTGAAGAGCAGCTGGATAGAATTGATGTTTCCAGGAAGCAGCAGCTGATGATGTTCTCCATGTTTTTATCCTCCCTGAAGTGCCTGAGGATTACACTGTCAAGGAAGCAGAACTGAAGATGGGAAGCTTGCTTGGGTTGTGCCATGGGAAAGCTCCAACTTCCACTCAGGTAGAGCTGTGAGGGAAAGTGTCTTGTGCATCTCCTCTGTAAAGGGCACAAAGGATGCCAAGGGGGCTATTGCTCTTGGAATCTCCAAGTTGTAAACATCATGGAGTCCCAGAATGGTTTGGGTTGGAAGGGACCTTAAAGCTCATCCCATGGGCAGGGGCACCTTCCACT